TTGGTTTATTTTATCAAGATGAATTATTTTAGCTCGTTTTAGTTTTTAGTAAACATCCGTGTGTAACTGCCCAGCTGATTTGTGCTCACTGTAGTTCACTTTCAGCTTCTAGATTAGCTCACACGTCTGTCAGCTTCAAATAAATATTTTGTATTTGCCCAAATAATCCCGTCGTTAACTTTAATGTACGATGCCATGTTGGAAAAGGATGTGTCGTCGAGTCGTTGACTGGGTCGTCCCTTGCACCCACTAGTTGTGGCATGATTCCGTTCTGTTAGTGTCCAGCAGGTGGCAGAGATGAACTGTTTCAGACCTGCCGCGCACCTGTCTCTTCTGCACTCATAACGATAACGGACTACGAAAGGATTTTCACTCCGACCTTTCGGCGTCGGATAATTTGCCTTGCGCAAACCATTGTTCAAGTTGCAGTTTTCGAGACGATCCATGTTTTTTTGCGCTGTAGTTCTCTAGCCGCGTTTTGTGTTTTGTCTTGTAGTGTTGCTTGCTCTGATTGCATTCTACCTTTTTTGGTTCTCTTATCCTTTCGTGACAAGCTATTTCCATTTATCTAATCTCTGCCTTTTACAAGCGGGTTTTTTTGTTCTTGTTTTTATCCTGGTTATTTTTCTATCGTCATTGTTTGTACTTAATTGCCCGCCCTCTAAATAAATATAGTTTTGTCATCTACCAAAGTCTACTCATAGAGTCCGATTCTGTACGGAATTTTCCGGACATCCTGACAAATTGCAATTAAGTGAAACGTCAGATCGCTTGCCTCTGAACTTAAATCTCTCGATGTATTTTTTTCTCGGTAGGCGAAGCCGTAGTAGGTTACATACAGGTTCATTGGACCTTCGGCTACCTTGTGGAAGAGCGCTGTTTTCTTCTGCCGTTCACTACGTGTTGCTGGCATAGATAAATAAACAAAGATACATTATTTGTAGTGAATAAGCAATCGTTGTCTGACCAATTAAGTGAAATTGGATAATTTCCAATGGCACATCTGATGATCGCTCATGGCTCATTTTCCCAGAAAGAGACGATGTCTGTGACGCTTTCCGAGTGCTTTGTTTGTATGTGTTGCTGCTGCAGTTTGAGGATTTCAAATTACCTTAACATCTATGATAATTTCCGTAAGACTGTCTATGGAGTTTCATATTGGCATTAAACTAGCTTTCCTTCATTATTACATGGCTTGTTTGAACATTTTGCCATATTGATTTTCAGCATTTATTTTGTTTTGTCAGTTTTACAGTATATTTCAACTGATGACATAAAAGGAAACAAACTGGTCATTTGTTGTTCAGTGAAATGTCTTATTTTCTCATCTGGATTCATAATTGCTTTTAAATTAAGCAAAACTATAGTTTATTTGAATATATGAAAATTCCATTGAATTTACTAAAATATTTCATCACTACAGCCTTATGGCCCCCCTGTTAAATTGTTACATTTTTGGGGGGTAAAACCCTTGCTCCAGGGCCCTGGGATTAACCTGCAAAAAATTGCTCTTCAAAATGACAAAGTTGCTCCTCAAATGAAGTCGTTGATTAGCAAAAATACTTCTCAAAGAAAGTTATTTCAAGCCTTGATAAGCTTTTAACCTAGATTTAAAAGCATTTACACTTGGTGCTCTCTTCACCTCTGTTGTGTTTAGCATAACAGCTAGATGCTTTCTTCGCCTCTTATTTAGAGAACTGCTAATCAGAGTGAGAACTGGCACTAAGGAATATTAAATAATAGTGTCTTTTCATAGGTTTAAATCAATTGAAAGCATCCTCTAGTTTATATGGGCTCACTTTAATATGATTGTTTTGTGGGGCTTAAATAGTGTTGCAGTTTATTCTCTGTAGTTTGTGTGGTCTAATTTCGTTTTATTTCCCAGATCATCAGTGAGGGGAGATTCCGTCAGTTGGAGAAAATCAAAACCATTGGTTCCACTTACATGGCCGCCTCCGGCCTCAATGTGTCCAGCTACGACCGAGAGGGTCGTTCGCACATTCTAGCGCTGGCTGACTATGCCATGAGGCTCAGGGAGCAAATGAAATATATCAACGAGCACTCTTTCAACAACTTCCAGATGAAAATCGGTAAGATATTATTCCGTCTGGATTTTACAGCTTGTCTTTTGCCATTTGTTTTGCTCTAGCTTTTCCCAGTTGGAGAGTTCTTTATTGAGTTGTGTCTCTGACTAATGGTGGACTTGTGATTCTCAGGGCTGAACATGGGACCAGTGGTGGCCGGGGTCATTGGAGCCAGGAAGCCCCAATATGATATCTGGGGGAACACGGTCAATGTGGCTAGTCGAATGGACAGCACCGGAGTACCAGACTACATTCAGGTAACACACACACCCGTAGAAAGGTACACATGGCATGACATTTATAAATGCCAAAGGAATGGAATGTGGTGTTAATCCTACTTTTGAAAAGTCCATCCCTGTCAGATGGTATTTACATGTGTTCAAAAAGTTTGGTTTCAGTTTATTTCATGCAATATTTTTATTTTGGTTTGTTTTGTTTTTTAGTACACTTAAACTGTGTTTGGATCATCACATGCAGCAGAAAGGATTATGAAGGAGAGCAGTGTACTATAAGTCGCACATACATGTTTTTCGTAGTACTGTACTATTTGACTTGCTTTTCATTTTCTTTCGGAATAAGACTTGGAATGAAACAAGGCTGTTTGCCGAATAGAGACTTTATGAAGAGGACTGAGAATGAGGTGGAAATGAAGCTTGTCAATATCCATGCATTCATTCATTTTCTATGGCGCTTGTCCTCATTAGGCTCGCATTAGAGTGAGCTGGAGCCTATCCCAGCAGGCTTTGGGCAAGAGACACAATTACAAGAAAAAAAAAAGCATTGTTAAATGGATCCAAAACTTTGTTTTCAAATGGGGTGTACTAATTTATGTCGAGCGCGATTGGCTGGCAACCGGTCCAGGGTATACCCCACTGACTGCCCGGAGACAGCTGGGATAGGATCCAGGATGCCCGCGACCTTGTGAGGCTATGGTGGTGTGACATGTGTTGCGGATCCTTTCCCAGGTGACCACGGACCTCTACCACGTGTTGGCCAACAACGGCTACCAGCTAGACTGCAGAGGACTGGTCAAAGTGAAGGGCAAGGGTGAAATGACCACTTACTTCCTGACCAGTGGCCCCCCTAGCAGTTAACCATGGACCCCAAAACCACCCCACAGGGTTGACAAATGCTGTCGGTGTCTTGTCCCCTCCACCCACGCCCAACACACACACACAGGATTCTCAAGGTGGTGTTTGAAGGATTTCTATCTTTTTTTTTTTTTTTTGTACAAGTGAGCACAAAGCCCATTTGCCTTAGGACGGGAGCGTGCTTTTTTTGTATGAGCTGCACGAGTATTTTCTCTGGACTATTAATTTATTTTATTTCCTTTGTGCAGATGTACAGTAGAAAGGATAAGCTACAAGTATGTATAGATTATGATGGAGGAACACGGCCAAAGAACAACACAGATACTCTGTCCCAACGACGCTGTACAACTCGGGTTTGCGTGGTCAAGTCACTGAGGGACACACACATTCAATGCGTATCCTCAGGTGGACTAATTCACCACTGATAACAAGCGCAAACAATATGCTTGACGTGAGTGAGTGATTGAAACAGACTGCTGAACTTTTCCTACGAAGCATACTGTAATTATTCACTGTGAGTTTTTTTTTTTTTCTATACGCGATGACGCTTTCTTGTTTGCATGGTTTCTATTAATCTCCAGACTTCTGGTGATTGCAAGAGGATATTGTCGACTTTGATGCCAATGTCATTCCAAGCAAAAATACTTCAAAGCAAACTTAAGTGTATTTTTTCAAAGATTGAGGACAGAGCGCATATGCAGGGACTTTCTTTGTCTTGATGTGCACCAGTTGCAATGGACCAATTTTCCAAACACTTGTTTTTGTCACCCGTCAAGCAGTCCGTCGAATGTATGTCAGAACAAAGGTGATATGACCACTGAAGGACACGCACCGCTTTGGGGTTCCCGTTTGCTGCAAATGAAAACGGCGTACAGGACTTGTGCTGTACATGCACTGCAGTGTTTAGGAGTTGACTCTTCCGTGGAGGTCCACAATGTTTATGCCTTAAAGGTGACACCTTTGCCTGAAAAGTCAACCAAATACCCCCATAGTCAGTCTCTTGGATAGGACAGCAGCAAATGATTCATTTTGCCTTAATTGTATGTCCCTTTCTTGTCTGTTGATGCACTTCTACAGCACGCCTGTAGTCTCTATTTTACAAAATAAAAGAAAATTGTCTAATTGCTTGCGTGACACGCTGCACGTGGCACTTTGAAATTGCTCTCGTTTGAATGCGTCTCAGATTCTGTAAATTGAGAACACCTTCCTCTTCTCCTTTTCCCCAAGTAAATCCATCTACAGTTTCAGGAGGGCCGTGCAATGGAGAATGTGTGATTGCTTGCACATGAATAATGCATTTCTCTGCAGCCGGTGGCAAAGTTCTCACGTCACTCCATGCTGAACATTAATTAAGACCCATAAATTCCTCCTAATCCCTTGTGACACCCCCCACTCCCTTGTTATTAGATCACCTTGCAGAGTTCGCAATTAAGGTGAAGTGCACAACAAAACAGTGGATTTGTCAGGCCGCGCTTTGGCTTGTTTTACATTCGATAACACCTTTGCCACTTGGTCACAAATTATTAAACATGGGTCCCGGCTTTTAAAATATCCTAATTCTCAAATGTACTGTCTGATTTTTAAAATTTTGGGGATCAACTGCAGTGCACCTTGATGGTAGTTGTGTAAATATTAGCACTAGAAATTATAACATAAATCAGAATCAGAAGATAATAATAATGGCCCTACAGGGAGTGGTAACTGAAATTTCAAGCCAATCGTTTAAGCAGTAAATGCCATAGTGAAAGAAGCTTTTGCAATGTTTCTGTGCATTGTTTCATTGTGCTTGTAGAAATGAAATGATGACTGTAATATATTTTTTTTAATTTCACCAAGAATTCAGTAAGTCATTTTTTAACGTATTCATCTGAATTAATTTAGTGTTTATTTTACTCCTCCATTTCTGTGTACCAAAAGGTGCTTTGTTCAATAGCACGAACATAATACTTAACAAACAAAAAACTCCAATAACAAACATTTCTCTAGTTATTACATAACATTGGGACTTTTTTTTCTTTTACAGTTTCAATAAAAACTTAGTGAACTTCGTTTAAATCTCGCACCCATGTTTTTGCGCTGACTCATACCTGTGAGTGGATACCCAGATTTCAGCCAGTAGGCGGCGCGCTCTCATCATTTATGTGGAAGTGAGCGATGACGACTCAAATGAGTGTGACATGTAGCCAAAAGCATATTGCTAGCTACATTGTGTGCTACCCTAAGGCTGAGCTACGCTACATTTGTTTGTGACTACGAATAACATTTTTTGACATACACCAAATATTATATGCACTATGTGGGAACATTTGTTATGAAAAAATCTGAATGAAAATGCATGTCATTTTTTTTCCCTAGCTGTTCACAAGCCAGCCTTTTTTGGTCCGGAATGACAGTTGAGAATCACGGTGTTAGGATTCCAACGGCTAGCATGTTAGCAATTCTCAATAGAAATACAGTGTAGAAAATACTGTATAGGTCAAATCTAAATACTGTACACTGAATTGCAATGTTTAAAACCCTTTAAATCTGCTTTAGCACAATACTTAAGTTTCTAACTTGCTATTTGTTAGTATAACAACTGCTAGCATCAATACTCATTAGTAGATAGAAGACGCAGCCTTTATCGGTTGGCCTTTCTCTGGTCATTAAAATTTTTTGTCAAATCAAATATGTCCTGTGACTCTAATGCGATATAGAAAATGGACAGATGGATCAAATATTTGATCCCTACTTATTCTGCCATTTTGTGTTCGTCCTTTTAGGTTAACTTCAATTTTATGTTTGTTTTTTTTAAATGAAGGGAAGACGATTGTAATTTGCTACTCAAAGTCAGTCGGTAGCCCCTTTGAATGATGTGAGTAAATAAAAGATGGCCATGAGTGAGTGTATTCACTTTAGACAGCCACCATTGCAGCACTTTAGATCCTGTTTCATCAATCCATGAAAGAGGTGCTGCTTTAGGCCTCAGTGGGGTGAAGTAGAAGTAGTCACCCTTTCAGGTTACAGTTCAGCCGGGGAGGTCCTGGATGGGCGAGTGTGGGGTTGTTCACTGACGTGGGAGTGAGCATGAACCCGCCCATTGTGCGGTCACGTGGATCCTGGGGAGGGCAGGCCTGTTGTTAAGCAAACCTGTTACTGTTATGACACCTGAATCAGTTGAGCAAAAGTCTCCTGGTTGATGACTCATGTTCCACCACTTCCTCAAATCAATTGACACATTCACACTCCACCTTGAGGCTGCGTAAGCTGCATCTGAAGCATGCGTCTGTTACCGCGACGCCGTTTGGCTCCCCTGAAACTGGTTATCCTTGCGGGGGCTATCTTCATGGTGGTCTTAGTGGTTCTCCTGAGCGACCCGACCTCCTCATTCACCGCCGAACCCTGGCTCTTGAGACAGGTGGAGAAGAAGGACAAGGTGATGATGCTGGTCCAAGACGCCGCCAAAAACTTGGGCTTCCAGATGCCGGTCCCGCCCCAGATGGAGCCCACCAAAAACAACGTTTGCACCCATGGTTTCTACAGCAAGGATGAGCTCAAGCCTCATTTGGAGAGACCGCCTCAGGACCCCAAAGCGCCTGGTGCAAATGGGAACGCCTTTCATAAAAATCTGTCTCCCAAGGAGACCAAGGAGAAGGAGGAAGGCATGACCAAGCATTGTTTCAATCTGTTTGCCAGTGACCGCATCTCGCTCAGCCGGAGCCTCGGCGACGACACTCGGCCTCCAGAGTAAGATATCTTTACAACCTTTATAACTAGTGCCGCTGTTAATGCTGAGAAATTGGCATCTGCAACAGCTGACCGACATTATAACTGCCACTTTTTTCAGGCCGAAACAAGTTCAAGTATTCTCTCTTGAGTACTCACTGACACAGAATACAATTTTTACTTGTCCTTGAACATAAAACTTTCTTTCTGACGCAGCTAATGGTTTACCGATGTGTCAAACTGCCGCAGTATAGCATGCAGAGGAGTATTTACTCACTGTTTGTTGTGGCCGCAGCAATCCTGGTTCGAATCCTTGTCAAGACATGTGCAAAGAGCATACTTAACTTCGACCCGGTGGGTCCAGTGGTTAGCGCGTCGACCTCACAGTGCAGAGGTACCAGGTTCAATTTCAGCTCCGGCCTCCCTGTGTGGAGTATGCATGATCTCCCCGGGCCTGCGTGGGTTTCCTCTGGGTACTCGGGTTTCCTCCCAAATTCCAAAACCATGCATGGCAGGCTGATTGGACACTCTAAATTGTCCACAGGTGTGACTGTGAGCACGGACGGTTGTTTGTCTCTTTGTGCCCTGCGATTGGCTGGCTACCGGTTCAGGGTGTCCCCCGCCTACTGCCCGAAGACGGTTGGAATAGGCTCCAGCTCCCCCCGCAACCCTTGTGAGGATAAGCGGATCGGAAAATGGATGGATGGATGGCATTCATGGCTGATGATGGTTGGTATCTGCAGCCTCCATCAGTACCCAATACCTAACCCCCTGGTACTATCCCTAATTATAACAATTTGCGTTAGTGTGGCATCTCGAATCGTTGGGTATTTTTGTGGAACCTAAATTGATGCTGATCTGAAATGCTGAATTTCATTCAAATTTACTTTATAGAGTAAAAATGAGAGGTGATTATCACACAACGGTAATATGATCAGAAATCCTGACATGCTATCAGTTGGTGTGCCAGCGTAAAGCTAGATCAAAACATGAGTCGAGCAAGTGCCTTGACAAGTATTTGACATACTGTATTGCCCTTCTTCCTACCATTTCTAATGAGAATTAATCAAACACCAACATGCTTTTAGTTGATAGGAAAACATTTAGCCACCTGAGTGCAATAGCTGATTGGCCGTGTTTGTTAGCCGACATATTGCCATGTAATCAGATGTTTGTAATTACACTGGATATGTTAAAATGGCCACACTCCCCCAGGTGCCTGGCCCAGAAGTTCTTTCGGTGCCCTCCGCTGCCTGACACCAGCGTGATCATCGTGTTCCACAACGAGGCCTGGTCGACACTGCTCCGAACGGTCTTCAGTGTTTTGCACACGTCACCTGCCTTCCTGCTCAAAGAAATCATCCTGGTGGATGATGCCAGCACTGAAGGTGAGCAATCAGCAAATGACGACAGCATGCACATGCCTTTTTTTAAAAGAATGAAGCCAAAAATAGCCAAATATAGACTAACGGCGGACTGGTCGCTAGGCAATATTACGGTACTTATGGACAAACAATTGGTTGCCAATCAATGTTAAAGGCACAAATTGACAAGAATTCTCCTGAACCATTTCATTGAACAAATGTTCGCGAACTTGCTCATATTTTGGGCAAACATGAACTGAACGTAGTGTATTTTTGCTTCGTGAACATTACTGTGAGTGACATCATTCTGGCGCCAATTAACCTGTTTTGAATACCGGTAAATTTTTGCTCAAGAGTGTCAGGCTTTCTCTTGTTTAACTACAAGGGAAAATCTGTCTAGCGTAGCTTAAAATGAGCCTTCATTAGGTCTGCCTAATTGAGGGTATTAAAGGATAGTATTTGGAAATCCTGGCCACCAACAGTCATCATCAAAATGTGACGCGTGTTTGGAGGGGGGGAAAAACAAAAAGCGTGACAACACGGTTAGAAGTAACTCATTCACTATTAGCAGCTCCACTCCCTGTCTCAGCAAACAATTACGTGTCCTCTGATAATTGTGTTCAAAAATTTAATGAGAAGGTCAGAGAGAATTCAAGAAGAAAAAAATCAGGAATTTCGGTGTAAGCTTTGCCCACCCAGTTTCAAAAAGCAAACACTGATTTCAATTTCATCAACAGCGAACCTGAAATGCCACATTGTTTTAAAACACCCCGTTAGCTTTTCGAGGTACAAAGTATATGCAGGTGACCCAAATAATAATAATTAAAAGAAATGACACTGGTAAGTCAAAACAGATCACTTTCCATTTCCCAGATACATCGAGTCGTACCTCTGCCTGGTTCCAGTAAAAGGTTCTTTTTGTGGGAGTTTTTTTGTGTGTGTTTTGTGTTTTCATATTTGGGACCACAGACCTGTTTTTGTTTTATTCATTTAAAAATGAAAATTTAAATCATAATTTCTCCTTTTTTTTTTTTTTTTACATTGTAGGGTGATAGCTGCACCTGGATACAAGTGTACTACTTCATTTTTACGAAAAAAAAAAGTCAGGTGTCAACTATGAACTGAACTAGCTGGGAGCTGAACTTTGAACTAGTTCGCATAGAAAAAGAGCTTTCCCAACACTGCTGTTCTGACACGCTACTGGTAAATTACACTTATAATTGTCACTACACCCAACACGATGGACGGGAACCAGTTAGTTTGCTTTTGAGACATCATCAGGCACTGATACAATTGTATTTCAATGCTGATTTATTTATTACAATGTAACTGTCCATCTATGCCGGTGTCGTTCAGTGACAGGCAGAACAAATAGATGCTCTTCCCCAATATTACAGAAGGTCAAACTAACCCGTTTATCCACATTTTGCCATCAATGAAACAGAATAACAGCTTTGTGCTCAACTAAACAGGCGCACATTCCACACTGTCGGTAAAATGAAAATTATTTCAGGACATTCTCTCTAGAGGGTGATTGAAAAGCTATTTTGAAATACTTCTGTTCGTTTTATTTGTTTCTATTTCCTCCCTCAAATGTTTATAGTGTTTGTTCTTTAATGTTTGACATTTTTACAACTCATCAGATACCTTTCGCATGTGATGGTATTGTGAAAAATGAACAGAAACACAATCCTGTGCCAAGTCATCCCACACACTTACTTAAATTCTCAACTTCGCAAAAGCAAAACATTTCAGTAAATAAATCATTTTAAATGTTTGCCCAATGCGTCGAGAGCGATCGACCGGTAGTTAGCGGACTGGTCCCGAGTCGATCGCGAAGGGGATCGGGAAAAAAACCAAGCCAAAACATTTGTGTGTCTGTGTGCGTGTTATTAATATGATATATTTTTGTGTTCGTGCCCAGCGCACCCTATCAGTCTCACTTACACAAAAAGTTAAAAAAAAAAAACATTCAAAAAAAGGTCACCTTTAACCTAAGGATGGCGCGTGGCCTGCGTCACCGGAAGTTGTTAGCGGTCAGCAGTGTAGAGTTGCAGCTTGCATTCAGAGCTGTTTCGCCATTATCTTTTATTGTTATTATTTTTCTCATTCAGAGTTTGTTTCATGTACAATTCACTGAGGGCACTGACAAAGAAAGGGAATCTGGAGGGCCGAAAAGAAGCATTTTAAAACGGTACACGTGAGCTACAATAGTTAACACGCTGCAAAAGTGCGTCACATGTCTCCGTGTGAGGTCTCCACTAAGGTAGGTAGTGATATGCTTTTCATAAACTCACAAACTTTTGTGTCTGTCATTATTTTTCTGTTACGTTAATCTTAGCCGTTATGGCTCTTGCTCATCAGGGCATGCGTGTGTAACTGCGTGTGTTTGCGTGCGTGTGAGGTAACGGGTCAATCGCGGGAGGTTGGTTAATCGAAAAGTACCTGTAGATCTTGGGTCAAAAAAGGTTGGGCACCTCTATTTTAGAGTTACTTTTCAATAACCAAGTACATTTTTCCGGTTGTTGCGCCATGGATTTTCTAATGTAAAATATTTGCCTTTGCCAAGAGTACCTGCAGAAGCAACTGGAGGAATTTGTCCGCGAACTGAAGATTGTCCGTGTGATGAGGCAGCGGGAGAGGAAGGGACTGGTCGCAGCCCGGCTGCTGGGCGCCAGCGTCGCACAAGGCCAAGTCCTCACCTTCCTTGATGCGCACTGTAAGCATGCACAAACTCACAAGGGTCAACAGCACAGCAGCTCAGTAACACGGTAGCTCAACAACACAGTAGTATAGGCACCAAGCAACATTTTTCCAGTGAACAATGAACATAGTTAGGAGCAGTGATGGGAAGTCGCCAAGCACAAATACAGTGCTTTGTATAATTTATCTGCAGGCTAACTTTAATACTTTTTAACATTTTTCTGATGACTTTTTACTTTAACTCCCTGCATTTGAAGTCAGATTTCGTTCTTCTCCTCTGCCTTGTCAAAATAGGCTCATCACTTTTGTCGACCTTTGCAACTGATAAAACACAATTCAAAAAAGATGCAAATAGAGAGAGGTCAAGATGAGATGAAAAAAAACTGCGACATTGGCGAAATGAAGAAACCGATATCACTAACAAACATGACACTATAGGTTCACAACATGCCATTATTTAAGATAATAACTTTTTTTTCTCCATTGTGCCAAAATACCCAAAATGGATATTGTTTATGAGTAACAATAAAAAATTGTGGTTTACTTTTATACTTAAGTACATTTTTAGTGTCTGGACTTTTTAACTTTTTATTAGCTAAAGAAGGTGAATTACCTGTACTATGTCTACTTATCCCAGAGTAGTCTGACTTCACTCAAGTACTACTTGAAACAACAATTTCTGCATACAAATTGCTGGACAAAAACTAAAAATCAGACATAAAAAAGCAAAGAGTGTTAAAATTTAAAATCAATAAATTTATAACAGTGCAGCACAGTGCTCAACTGGTTAGCACGTCCGCTTTACAGTGCAGAGGTGCAAGGTTCGATTCCAAGGCTTCGGCTTTTCTGTGTGGGGTTTGCATGTCCTCCCAGTGCCTGCGTGGCTTTCCTCCGGGTCCTCGGGTTTCATCCCACTTTCCAGAAACATGCACGGCAGGTTAATGGAACACTCTAAATTATACCTAGGTGTGACTGTGAGTGTGAATGGTTGTTTGTTTCTATGTGACCTCACAACCAGTTCAGGGTGTACCCCGCCTACTGCCTAAAGACAGCTAACACCATAACTTATGTTTTCTAGTCAGTGATGATCAAAATTTTCAGTGCCATCCAGGCCTTGATTTCCTCTGGAAAGGACAAAAAATAGCCATCGTGACAAAGCATCCTTTTTGCTCAGTGGGACATGGATCTGATGGTCATCTGCATTATGGAGAAAGGAAATATCCTGCTTTCATAAGATGCAACCCAGGGGCAGCAATTACGAGGAAATAGCAGGGGCTCCAAAACTGAACCATGTGGAACACCGTATGACAGGGGTGTAGAGTGGGGCTAAAACAACCAAGGCTATCACAAAAAGTTGCTAAGTAGGATCTATACCACTCTAGTGTGCTCTCTGTCCTAACAAGTCTTACATGTATTTTATTATTCTGATTTATTTTTATATTGATTATTGTTAGATACAATTGAAAATAAAATTTTTTGTTGTTGTTTTTGAAAGTGAAGTATTTTTTTCATATTTCGACCAAAAACGTCAGCATAGCAGTTTGCCTCTATGATGTGGAGTATTAAGCCACTTCATGAAGCAAGTGTCATGTAGGGAACGCTGAAGATGTGGCTAGAATGAGCTGATTTGACTGGGACAAGGGGAGCAGAACTGACCAGACTAATTGGAGTGATGGATGACATGTGTTATCCCGGTTTTACACACCAATTTTATCTTAATTTTCAGAATTTTCTTTCATCTTAATCATTATTCCTTTGTAAAAATAAAAAAAATAAAAAAACACCCCGGATTTGCAAATTGTATGAGTGGCGAATGGACCAATACATTTGCCTTGCCTCTAAAGTTACTTGAGACAAACCAAAGTGTGATTTTGTGTGCTTTAGGTGAGTGTTTCCACGGTTGGCTGGAGCCACTAATAAGCCGCATCGCGGAAGAACCGACTGCGGTGGTCAGTCCGCGCATCGTCACAATCGACCTCAACACGTTCCAGTTCAGAAAGCCTATGGCCAACCTGTTATACAACAATCGAGGGTCCTTCGACTGGGCCTTGACGTTTATCTGGGAGCCCATCCCCAACCACATCTTCAATCTGCGCAAAAATGAAACCCAACCGATCAAGTAAGCAGAAGTGGCAAAAGTACTCACATTCCGGGACTGAGTCACGTCCTTTACGTAAAGAAATGTAAAAAAGAAAAAGGATGGACTCTTAATAGATTTTGACTACTCAAGTGAAGTACAAAATGCTAAAAAAAATCTACAAAACTGCAGTAGCAATGTAAGTGAATATTCTGGTACTTCCCAGCACTGCAAGACCAAGAAATACTGGCTTCACCCATTTCTTATTTTTTTTCTTTTTACCTGCGAACATTTCAGAACACCCACTTTTGCCGGAGGTCTCTTTTCCATATCGAAGAGCTACTTTGAACACATCGGAACATATGATGACCGGATGGAGATTTGGGGTGGCGAGAATGTCGAGATGTCCTTCCGGGTCAGTCTTATTTTTCCCCATCTTGATTTTTCAAATGTCACCTCACACACTGGGAATGTACATTTCATATAAACAAAATTTTACAACTGATATGCTAGATACAGTAAGACATGTATCCATATTTTGTACATGTGACATTTTAGCTCAGGCAGCATGGTGAACGAGTGGTGAGCTCATCTGCCTCACAGTTCTGGGTCTTGGAGTTCAAATCCAGGCTCCAGCCTTTCTGTGTGCCGTCAGCATGTTATGCTCATGCTTGCATGGATTTTTCCCCCCATATTCCAAACATAAATTACCGTGTTAGCTTCAATATTGGATTGAATAAATACATTATAATGATGCTACAATGTTTAAGATGAGTTTATGTCACAGAATGAAAACAAACAAAGCACTTTGGGCCTTGATTTTATGCCTAGCGGAAGTCTAGCAGAAAGTGCACTCGAACTGTACGCATGGGTGGAGTTTTCTCTCTTTTGGTATTTTTGTAAATGGACGCAGTTAAAAAGAGGCGTTTGCGCCATTATGGGAGTGAATGCAGCCAACTTACTTCTTGGCAAATGAAAGTGGCTCCACTCGTTCCCTTTACATTCACACAAAGGAGCCACGCACACAGTCTTTGACATTGATGAGGCATAAATTGACTTGCTGGAGTCCATGTAGAAGTTCAAACTGCGCAAAGTAACTTTATAAGGTCCTGCAAGCAGACCTCCAGTTACGGATGAAAGTTGAGCAAGGCCATCACAGAAAATCCTTGTGAGGTGGGCAGACTCTGCCCAATCATTGTGTGCTTTTGTCAGTCCATCAGCATCGGGTACGTAGGACAAGCAGCTGCCAAAATCACGTCAACGGAGGCATGTGCATTTGCGTCGTTTCTTTGTTCAGAAAAGGTGAAAACAAAACGAAAAAAAAAACCAAAAAAGACAGTATGGAGCCGTTCCAAAACAATTAAGATGACAATTTTTTTTAATGACACCACATTTGCTAATCAGTTACTAGCTTTGCAGTTAGCAAACATAGCATGATTTGAAATGCTACGGATACTTTCTACTATTTTCCGTTTTGTTCAAGTTAATTTTTAAATACTGGAAATCACATTATGATTGCGTGCCCCACGTCCAGTCTCTTGTCGTACTTGGGAGGGCAGTGTCTTCCTAGTGGTTAATGCCAAAGAACCAATCGAAGGACGACATAAGACATGTCACGCTATGCGGCAAGACGAACAAAAATTTTGATGTCCCAGACGCCTCATGATCAATCGTTGAGTATGTTACACAACACGGGCTACAGTGCATCAAGACAACTCAAAATCGGCTGACGAGATATTTCGTTTTTCTGCAATATTTCCATTGGCTCAAAATCGAGCTACTGTATATACATGTAGTCTGACGTCAGCATGAAGCGTAGTCTATCTTCTGTTAGCAAATTGTCGGGTGTGCCAAGGTTGTATAGAAGAAAACGCCCTCGGTCTACCGGAATGCCCAGCATTTTCCAGTGCGATCTGCCAAATTCCTAAACAGTAAAGTCGACTTGCCCAAGCACAAGAATGAAGATGTCCCAGTTTTTTACACCAAGCGCATGTGCACCTGTTCATGAAACTAGATCACTTTATGTCCATCCATGTTGTGATATGTTGAACTATTTATACTAAGGATATTTTTGGACCACAACTCATGAATTTATCGCTTGCCAAAAATCAAACAATACCCGGGAAATAGAAATCATTTTTCTGTATTTGTGCAAGATATCGTGCGATTGCTTTTCTAGTGACCATTGGTTGTTCACTGCTTCACCAAATGCATTGAGGGATACAGTGAAGGCACTACGTAGGTGCGAGGCTCTCACTACACATTCCAACAGTACTACAAAAAGGCCATCACACTGGATATTGACAAAGGAGTTATTCCTAGCCCAGCCCCGGTCTCTGGCTGTGTTTGATGTGTTGTGTGTTGTGTTCAGGTGTGGCAGTGCGGCGGTCAGCTGGAGATCCTTCCTTGTTCGGTGGTGGGCCACGTCTTCCGCACCAAGAGTCCGCACACTTTCCCCAAAGGCACCGAGGTCATTACTCGCAACCAAGTGCGCCTGGCTGAGGTCTGGATGGATGACTACAAAATGATCTTCTATCATCGCAGCAATAGGGCCAGTGCCATGGCCAATGAGGTGACTATTTCTTGATGTGTGAGGAGTTAGTAGACCTGCCCCATATACTGCAGTGCATCTGGAAGCATGTCTGTGTATATTCTCATTTATCCAGGTCATGGTAATCCACAAAGGTTGAATCGAGGCAACTGAACTTTTCTCAGTTATTGAATATGTTGAATCTAAAAGGCTTCTTCTATTCATTTTTTTTCTTTGTATCGGTGAGCAGCTTGTTGGAGTCCTGAGTCAGCAGATCATTTGCTAAAACAAAAAACGACTCAGAAAGAAGGGACATTCTTTTGAGGACAATGACGTTCAAATTCTGAATTGGGATGATCAGTGTTATGAAAGAAAGAAGCCACCTGTCTCATAGTAGAAAACTCGTCTCTAAATAGAGGAGGAGGTTTCAGGCATCACTTAAGATCGTCTCATTCCACGGAGAAGAGTGGCTCTAACGAGCTGTTTTGCCTCCAGGCAAGTGAAAGACCGGTTGGTGTTCACGGGTGGTATTCACCTCCTTGCCTGTCAGTAACAAATACAACATGTTTCATGGTCTCACCATGGGCTGCTGCGTATAGCGTTTTTAAGGAAACATTTGGATTCAATATATTTTGGAATGCAGCGGTAACTTGACAGAATATGCACTGTATGTAAAGTGCCTGAACATCACTTCTAATATGAATGGGCACAACAGAAACAAAATTGAATGTTGTGTTTAAAAAGTGTTTGTGGTTGTAGCTCTCGTATGGGGACATCTCCGATCGTCGGAAACTGAGAGAGAACTTACACTGCAAAAACTTCTCCTGGTACTTAAACACCGTCTACCCTGAGATGTTCGTTCCTGAATTGAAACCATTAAAATTCGGAACAGTAAGTCTGCTTTGCCTTTTATTGCTCCACGTGGATGTTGCTTCAAGCCGCACACTCTATGTCAAACTTCTCCCACATTTATTGTTTGCTTCCAGATAAGGAATGCCGGATCTAAAACATGCTTGGACGTTGGTGATAAGAACGCAGAGGGGAGACCTGTTATCATGTACCCATGTCACAACCAGGGAGGCAACCAGGTACGTCACTCCCCCATACAGGACACCACCTTGGGACCGACAAATTCAACTTCAAAAATGAGAATGAATCCCAATTACAACAATTATATCGACCGTTCCAGAGTCCAAAGCTCTCAATATTCTAAAATATTTATTTAACTGTCCAGCCTAAGGTTGAAGTAAAATGACACCATTGTCTTGCTAATATAAGCAGAAGTTAATATTAATTTGTTAAAAAAAATTTACAAACCTCTTGAAATACTCTATTAATTTTAATGATGAATGAGGGAGGTTTATTGGTAGATTCTTTGAGAGGAAGAAGATTTTCACAGTGACTATTCACACACATACTTTTGTATTAATTGGACTGTATATTCAGATCCAGAAAAGGTTTAATCCCCATGGGGCAACTAATATGTACTGGTAATCCCTTTCAACATGACTCATACCGAGTTCATTGTTTTGTTGTTAAGGAACTAATTTCTTTTTTCTTTTATTGATTATGGAATCCAATGTTCCTTTATTGTTTCTTTTCTTTTTCATTAACATGTTTAATAGACTTCTTTGACATTTCACACTATGTCTAGCCATCAAAGGAGGTCTCGACCCATTTTGAAAAAGGAGTAGAATGTACTGACGTGTTCAAATGTAGCGAGTAAAAGTGTAAAAAATGGTTCGAAGAAAGAATATGCAAGTAAAGTACAGATAAAAAAAACAAAATCATATTTTTCTTTGCACTTTTGTATAATACAGTCCCCCAATTTGCTGATATTATTTTTTAGGCGGGTGAATTATATGAATGAATAAAGATTCAGAACATGCCAATAAAGTGTAAATGCATTTGAATCCAGTTTCAAAAAAATTATTTTTCCATACCTATGATTGAGGTCTTTCAAAGTATTTTTAAAATCAAGTTGACAATAATCATCTTATTTAGACATTTTACCAGGAACTAAGCAGTACCTAGTGGTTGAAAAAAAAAGATAAAATTTAAAAAATAGAATTACTGATTCAAAGCACATTTCACACATGTAACTCATACTGTAAATTTAAAAAATTACAGTAATTTACACTCTGCTTCACATACGGCAAATTACAAATATTACAGTATGTGAAGCATATTGAGTTATGTTGTGTATGAAATGCGCTTTGAATCAGTGATTGTATTTTTGAAAATTTATGTATTTATTTATTTATTTTACAACCCCTCGGTACTGCCTAGTAACTGGTAAAATGTCTAAATAATATACCTTTTTTGTTTGTTTGTTTCTTATCAAGCTCCCTGTATAATACCCACCTTAATTTGTGATTTTTTATTTTTTATTTTATATTTTTAAGAGTGCTTTTCATAAGATTTGACAGTACTTGTCACTTGCTACCACTCGGGCCAGCTGTGAAATGGAGGCTGTGTCTGTGATCGTTTGCAGTATTTTGAGTATACGTCCAACAAGGAGCTGCGTCATAACATCGCCAAGGAGCTGTGTCTCCAGGCGGAGACTAATCCACAGCCGGCGAGGATGCAAGTATGTGCGCTGAAAAAAGGGGAGTCAAGGTCGTCACCACACCAGGAGTGGATCTTCACACAGGTCTGTTTGTTTGTTTGTGTTTGGGCCTGGAAATGGGTGTGATGCAGCCTTCCAATGTTTTTTTTTTCCTTTCTTACCTCTGCAGGAAAATCTCCTGAAGAATCCCAGCAGTGGGAAATGTTTACATGTGAAGCAAAAGGTCATTCTGATGGACGATTGTAATGCGTGGAATGACTACCAGCGCTGGAGCTTCAGCTGACATCCTTTGGCCCCCGTTTAGGGCATTTGGCCAGCCCGACCGGACAGAGGAGGCTTTGGCACGAAGCCGGGACAAACTCACATCGATCCACTTGGATTGCCGTTCATTGCTTTAACCCTTTCATGCACTCTAGTGTAACCTGATAACAATGATAAACTGTCCACTGAGGTAACCGCTGTCCCTGAAAGGGTTAAAGCTAATCCAGGTGGAAAGTCAGGTTTGAATGGCTTGAAGGTGGTCGTCGGAGCCGATGTGAGCACTGACATTCAATGCACAAGTCTCACAGAGTCTGTTTTTACGTGAATTTTACACTTGAGACTTCCTCAGGTGATGGTGGACGAGGTGGTGGTAGTGACGATCAGAGTGCAATAAATGAAGCAAAATACTCAAATAGCTGAGCTCTTCAAACCTTGGCCAGAGGACACGGCCTTGCTAGTGGTGTGATTTTAACATTCAGATAGAGAATGTTGAGATGAGGCTTTTTACATTTCACAGCAAAAATGTAAAAGTGGAAATGAATAGGTTCATATGGACATTGCTTTTGGGCATTAAATAGTCACGTAAAAGCGTGTTCAAGAAGTCAAATTTAAGGCTTTTTAAGGTCCACTAAAGTGTTCATAGTTTTGGGAAAAACTATATCAAATAAGTATGAAGTTTTTTGTTTTTTTTTGTTTTTTTTTACAGGCATGTCTATGAAAATGGCTTGACTATTTAACAAGGTGTGTGCCATTTTTTTTTTTTTTAGTCAGAGTTAATGATTGCCCTTTCATGATGGAAGCCTTTCTTTGGAAAATCACATCTTTAAGGATCAGTGTTCACAATGTAGAAATTGTTTGGTTAAATGATAAATTAATATTCCTAGAATACAATTTTTATTGAACAACAGAACCATTTGGGGGGGGGGGTGTCAATCATAGTATTTGTGACAACTGGTATAGGAAACCTCACGTATCAAACTAGAGTATTTGTAAATCTTAGATTCCTACGAGCCACACGGAAGCATTTGCCTCCTTCACATATTACCAACCCTCAACTGTCACTAAGGCAAAGGACCGGTTCAGAGGCTTGACTAGATGTTTGCTCAGCAATTGTGCAGGGCGAGAAACATTCCTGACAATTATGTCACGTAAAGGTGTTGCAGAACCTGATCTGAGAAAACAGCGGATATCCATCCTGCTTGGCGGGTGGAATAAAGAGCAGCTGTGATGAGTAACCAAAAGTCAAACAAATGTAGCTTCGTGCTCTGATTTCATTTTAATGACTAAAGGTCATACTGTTATTTTTGTAAAACATTCAAATTACACCGCACAAACAACTGTAGAAAGTGTGTGTGTGGGGAGGGGGGCTAAATGGGGTGAATTATGTTTTATCATAACTGGGGGGAATTGTATCAGAATTAGAAAGAATACAACCATATTGTCTTTTACTGGAAGTGAATCCTATCACATTGTAATCGGAGTGAGTAGTTTTTTTTTTTTTTGTTTCTTTGTTTTTGGGGGGAGTGAAGGGAATAAAAGGAGTAAGTTATATTTTATACTTGAAGTGTTACATTATAATCGGAGTTTCCCGTCATCGTTGGAGTGAAATTAATGCTATTGCAGAAAAGGGGTGAATTTTACAGTATCAGAATTGGATTGAGTCATAGAGTATCGCATCATATATGGAGTGAACAGTGGCGGGCTGTGCATTTCAACCTTAGGCCTTCAGTGACGTCACATACATGAACACAATACTGTACAGGCTCGTCAAGCAGCACTTAATTTCAGGAGCATTTAAAACCATCAAGTATGCATTCACAATTAAGAGCAGGAAACTAAATTTACAGATAGTCAAAAATAAAAAGATGATTTTAAAATACGAAATAAAATGCCACCCAAATTACGCTGTGTGATCTTAAACAAGTCTGTCCAATAAATTGCGCAATGTCGCAGTTTCATATAAGACACCAACCAAACAATAACAAAACAAACTATTCTTTGAAAATAAACAGATCATTTGCATTTTGAAAATCGGCGATACAACAGCAAATAACTGA